ACAGACACACACACACACACACACACAGACACACACCCACGCACACAGACACACAGACACACACACACACACACAGACAGACACACAGACACACACACACACACACACACCCGGAAGGGGTGGTGTGTTTAACACAGTGCAAAAAAAAACACCTCTAACAACTTCAGTAAGAAAAACTGAGAGCATCATCCGCAGCACAAAGCCAAGGGCCACTGCCCCCGGTATAATGTTCCATGCTGGGGGGGGATTAAATTCCATTTCAGTTTTTCAGTTCAAATGTGGACCTGTCTCCGCCTACGGAGCACATGTGACCCAGAGACTGCGATATGCACAGGAATACCCAGCCGTTTATCCTGCCTAATGCACACAGACATAGAGTGACATCATGCACATTCAAAGCAGCATCATGTACGATGGCATGTAGGATGTTACCATTATGCTGCAGCTCCAGCTGCGCCTTCAGACCACAGAGCTCCGCCTTGACGTCGCCAGGAACCTCCATGCCCAGCTTCTGGTAGAAGTCTCTCTGCTTCTTCATCTCCGCTGCGGACCAGCACAGCAGTTAGATCCAGGTGGAACGGGGTCAAAGGTCAAAGAGTGTACAGGGTTAAAGGCTAAATGGGACACGCACCATCTTGAAGCCCCGGGACCAGTTTGTAGACTATATCTTGCATTGTGCGGTCATGCCTGAAACAGCAGACAAAACAAATGTACTTTCAGCACAGAAAATGGCCTTGTACTTTCGAAAAGCTCTCTGGAGACTTTAAGAGCAACACACAGAATAATACACAGTCATATTTGTTCCGGTCTTCACAAAAGCTGTCGTGATACAGAACACTTATAAGACGAAGACTGAAACGGAAGCAAACGGCAGAAGCGGAAACCATAAATGATATTCAGCAGCTTAATCAAGTTTCCTTAGGCAATAAATACACCACCTGTTGAATCTGTTGAAATAATTTACTCAGATAGCCTTAAAAAAAAAATCTAGAGGCATTTAATGCGACTGAGCAGAAACTAATTTTGCAGCTGACATGATCTAGCTGTTTGGCAACCCCACCCCCCCCACCGGCCCCCGGCTAGATTTACATCCACAGTACCTCCTGCATTCGTGCCAGGCAGCCTGTGGCACATAGATACCGCACAGGATACACAAATCGCCAGGGAGAGAATCTCGGCCAATTTCCCAACATCAGTGTGCGAGAGGAAGGTTGAATTCTGCCCTTCTGATTAGTGTTCCCTTCTGACACTGCCATTGTCTTTGTGTCCCTTTTGCATTGATGTACAGTATGTAGCATATCATCTAGTTACTATGGAAATGTAGTATGCAAAGTATATTATACAGGCACTTTGGTTAATGTAGCACCATGGGAGATGTATGTCATCCCATATGTATAGATATATATTGATGGGCTGACAAAAAACGATCTTTTGAATCTTCAATCTTCTAATTAAAATAATTAGAGAAGCTAAACTAACTGATTCAAGTACTATTGTCTGGTATCTTGTGTGCAGCCATTTTCACGTCCAGCAGCTTTTCAGACATGCTCCCCAAACTGAAGATGAGTGAACAGCCCCCTAACAACAGTAGAAACAGACCTACGGCTCTTCCAGGGCTGCCTCCCCGCCCTGAATGAGCCTGTGCGGCAGTAGGGTGGAATACGAGGACCTCTACAGGGAGGAGGCTGAAATGCACCTCCAGGGCCAGAGGTCATGCCATTCTGACAGGGACCGAAGTGTGGGTGGTTGGGGGGCAATCCAATTAGCGCCTGCCTGCAGGGGGGGTGGGGCGTGGGTGCAACTGTGGCATGTGCGAATTCCAACACCTCCGCAGGTGACCAGAAAGGACAGAAGGCCGAGCGGGTCTGTGTGCCTTGTCACAGGCAACAGGTAGCCTACAGATGGAGTCGTGCATTAATTTAGGGGGGGTCCGACTGTTATTTATGCCTCCTCCGTCGACACAGAGAGGAAGACAGGGATACGTTTAAAAGCGATGAGCCTTACATTCAGAAAACTGACCAAAGCATGACTGTCGATACTTTTTGTGCGCTAAATGTTTAATATAATGATTCCTGGCTCGCAATGAGGTAAGTTAATGAAAGAAGGTACAGTCAGGGGCGGATTAACGCACAGGCTAGATATGGCTTAAGCCTAGGGGCCCCACGTGTGCCAGCCTGCAAGGGGGCCCCCATTGGCGCGGAGGGGGGCGGGGTTGGGGGGCCCACAGACTACTGTAGCCTAGGGGCCTCTGTGCACCGTAATCCGCCCCTGGGTACAGTGAAATCATTCTGGTAACTCTGGCATTAGAACTGGTGACCTTCTGATCACAAATACAGCATTCTAGCCCACTGTGCCCCTCATCGCCTCCTCCATGCCTGGCTGGATGTGTAACTTTACAAGGGTGTAGGTTTGGTTTTAACACCGTGAGGACCAAGTCAGTCCCGAACCCACAACTGCACTAAACACATATGGTGCCTCCACGGTAATCGGCAGGGACATGTCCCTATCGTCCACCCCCAAATCTACGCACCCTTGTAACCTTGCCAAATAAAATTTAATTATTCCATCTTTTTGTAAACCAGTAAACCAGTGCTCTGACCGGTCATTCCAGTTACTATGCCAAGCAGTTATACAGTATTAATCTGAATATTAACTCTGGCCATTGGAGCAAAAACAAACTTTCCCATGTAGGATGTCCTGCCCTGCACGCAGATGATATTTCTCCTCATTAGGGGGCAGTGTGGAGCGTGGGCTTCTGAAATGGCCGACGTCACGACAGCATTGAATCTCTGCTTGGGTGTGATGAGCCAAGTTTACTTTGAGTGTAAATTAATACAAAAAGTTAACCGGCTTCTGGGAAGCAGAGACTTAAATGAATCAGTGAGGTAAATATACTTAACTGAAATGTAAAAGTGCTTATCAGACTGATCAGACACAGAGCACTGTCCCCAGTTCCTGGCAGTAGTTCCACCAGTTTGATTTTCGTGTTACGAACTTAAACGCTTATGCTCTGAAACCTGTCACTTTGAGGACATGCTGTGAATCAACAGCGACGTTCCTTTAGTTGGATTTCGAGTAGCTGTAGGGCTGGTCCCCTGAAAGTCTACGACAGGAAAATTCAGTCGGAAAGTGTGCTTGTTAAAACCGAGCAGTCAGTTTTTTTCTTTGTTTTTGTTGGTCATTACAATAAGAGAATAAAACACATGAAAACTTACAAAAGTTATGGCATTTCAATTAGGTTTGGTTACAGCAATATACTGGTTTCACGATATACCATGGTATGAACAATTATGGTTTATCATAGCATGTTAATTTGCTTTTTTTATTTGAATAAAAATGCAACCGAATGGAGAATCTCGCCTGCGCCTGTCCTTCGCTCCTGAACTGCCTGTCAGACGCGTCAACTAGCGCTTCCAAGCCAAATCTCTCCCACGTGTCACTGCCCTACCTGTACCAGGTGCCCGATTTCTGCCTCGCGTGTCTGCGCATGCGCAGCATTTGGTTGCGTAGCTCCCAATCCGTGCAAACAACAGTGATCGTTTAGGATCCAACTAGCAGGAAAAAAACGTTTTCTTTGCGTGTCATTTTAACACCTGCAGTCTGTTTTCACCATTACCTAAATACCCCATATCTGAAACATTAGGCCTAGTTTATAATTACATCAGTTGATGGTACTATCCAGCAACATGGTATTTTGGCCTGCTTTGGTTTACTCTAATTTAAACCATGAAGTTTGGTGTATTTTGGCATATAATTGATTTTCTAATTGCTGCATAATGAATGGGGGGGGAGGTAGTCGAATATTCGCTTTTAACAGCCATATCATAAATTCAACTGACAAAACTCTGAGTCGCCCTAACTAGTTTAATTTCCTAACGTGTGAAAAACCAAACTAAACTTTCCTACGGGATCAATAATGTATAGCGTTCGGTAAGCCAACACTGGAGCGCCCCCTAGGGACGAAGCGCGTGAGCGCGACTGCTCAGGCACTGACCCGATGTACTGCAGCGGGTGGCTCTGGTGGATCACGATCCTGCAGGTGGGGCAGGTGTTGTTCTCTTCCAGGTACTTTACCAGACAGCTCCTGCAGACTGCGGGGGAGGGAGAGAACAAAAATGGAGGGGTTATAAACCATCCTAACACCCCCTCGGTCTTAAAAACACTTCACCCTCTACCAGCGATATCTCATCAATTTATAAAGCCGCGACTGTCAGCAGAACATCTCCACGGACACGCGGGGACAGTGACCGCGTGACAGGCAGCACGGAAATCCTCCGCGAGCTTTCAAGCTGTGGACGGAGCCGCTAACCGGCGGGTAAACTTTACGTAGCGAAATGTCTCCCTCTACTGTGCGACTTAAGAACTGCAACTTTTAAAAACGAAATTGCACGAATATCCATTGCCTTAATACATTTAACAAATCCAACGCTCACTATTAACATTGGCAAAATTTTCTCACAGATGATTCAAATTCACAGGTTTTTAAAATAAAAACCTTTCCATTTTGGCATAAAAGTTCCTCAATGTCCAGAAAATGCTATATGTTAAAATGTTGACAACATAAAAGAGGCTTTATTTAATATATAATGTATATTGGATTATATAACTTATATGAAATATAACTAGAAATATATATTAAATATTTTCATTTATGTAATATATATACTGGGGGATTCAAACCAGCAACCTTCTGATCACAGGCACAGAGGTTTAACCCAATGATCTACACACTGCCACACTTGCTGCTCTAGTCATAGAAGATCTGACATTTTCCAGTGTAGGCTCTGATTCAGCTGTACGGAGGTAGACAGCAGTCAAGCTGACTGCTGAATGGCAGCGTGCTGCAGAGACCCCTCATTAATGTGTGGTAAACATTCATGAGATCCTGCCTCCCCAGCACAAAAGCTGCGGTGCATGGCTCAGCTCACACGCCGTTGCCCGTGAGTGGAAGGTCGTTGGTTCAGATCCCATGACATCATCAGTGGGACCTTGAGCGAGACCCTTAGCCCCGAATTGCTGCAGGGACTGTCCGACCCAGCTTCCTATCGTAGGTTAATTTGTATAAATAAATAAATGCAAATTGCTAAGGGCTACATTAGAAAACAGAAAAACATACATTCTCTGTGTGACACATTAAGCTGAAACCAGAGGCTCTTTGGCTGTCTGGGGTGTGACCCTGCACCTGGCATCAAGCTAAATGTTTTAGGGGGGATTTCAAGCAGAAGAGCTCCGTTACACTAGTGCCGTGGTGCGATAAACCAGTCGGCACTGCAGATCGGGAAAACCTCTCCTGCTAATGTAGTAAGCCACATCCGCCACATGGGGGTGCTATTAGGAGGACGGCACCCAGTACCCAGAAGAGCTTCTCAGCAAAGAAACTGTATGACAGTGAAGAGCCTATATTCATAATCATTCATGCATATCTCATATGGACCCGGTTTCCCACAAACAAGATCATGCAGTGAAATGGACTTTTAGGGGAATCTAAGCAGCTGATCATGACATGTATTTATTTAGCATTTAGCACTTTTATCCAAAGAGACGCCCAACTGAGAGAGCATGGTCAGAAAGTCTCTGCAGCAACTGGCGCTGAGGGTCTCGCTCAAGGGCCCAACGGTGAAACGATTCTGCTGAACACAGGATTTGAACCAACGACCATCCGATCATGGACATAGAGTCCTAACCCACCAGGTCTCATGCTGCTAGTTTTATGGGAATCAGCTACCGAGGACCAAATATGCAGTGAAAAGAAACCATACGGAAGCCATAAGGTGCCAGATGCTAATCAATTTGGCTTATTTCACTGCTTCAGGTGACACAATCTTTCTGCCATTAATGAATTTAATTTTAATTGATACTTTATTTATCCCTGTGGGGAAATTGTCTTTACGCCTCCCTCAACTTGCTCTTTGTAGAGTAAGCCGTCCACGAAGGGCAGCCATCTGTAGCGGCGCCCAGGGAGCTGGGGGTTAAGGGCCTTGCTCACGGACCCGCAGACGTGCTGAGGCTGGGTTTGACCCTCTGATTACAGGCACGCAGTCTTAGCCCACTGAGCTACACGCCGCCCCCTACTGATGAGCCTAGGAAGGTTGTCTAAAACTAACCCACTTCCCGCTGCTTTTCTGAAAGTAATTTTAACATCAGGAGGGTTATATGCCTCACGGTCTGACATTCTCTTTGGGGCCACCAACCTGGCGATGTCGCGTCGTCCCTGGCGATACCTTGTGACACCCCCGTTTCCTAATTCAGAAGCATGTGAACACAGCACATGCAGATGGGGACAGAGGGGGACTCTAGAACCACTGCTGAAACCTTGGCCCAGAACTGGATTTTTGCAGCATGAAGTAAAAGGACGGAGGAATCTGCCAATGGCCCATCTGCCAGCGTGTCTCAACCATGTGCAACGCCCACTTTCAGCCACAAGGTGGAGCAGCCAGTACAACAAACAGCAAAAATATCCTGCTGTGACCAAAATCATGAGCAGTAAACACTCCATAAAAGCCAGCCTTTATGAAGACGAAGTGGACCTGTCGAAGCAATCTCCATGCTGAGAATAATAATGAATAGAAATATCACTGTTTTGAGTGTATCTAACCGCATCAGAAAACATTGTTATTGTTATGTTAAGGTTCTGTACAACGGCGCTTTATCAAAGGCAGGAGTGTGAACAAGTTGTTAAATAACAGCTGGGTGGCGTCACAGGAGCTGTAAGCTTTAGCCACAGGGCAGCGCAAACCGGTTTTGTCTCCTTGTTACACTGTAGCTGTATTTTATGCAGTGAACCATGCAGTGCCTTCATTAGCAGAAAGCTCAGTTTGTCCTTCCTCCCAGACATATGTAAGAGGGCGTCACTGGCATTGGCCACAGACTGGGGTGTCGGGGGGGTCTATCTTAGCATCGTCCATATGACAGAACAGTCTCTTTCCTCACTAGGAGACAGAGGTTTGTATAAATGCCCCCCCCCCCTCGCCCCCCACCTGGGCAAGCTGACAAACAAATATGGATTAGTAGGTAAGGAAATAACCAGAATAATTTATATTTTGATTTATGTTATAACATAATTAATTCAGATTCAACTAGCCTGCCGGCCTATGCAGGAGGCAGCTGTGCGCCCCCCCCTTAAATAAGGTTGCGGGTTGCCAGGTTGTGGTGACATATTGGTTGAAACAGTATGCAGTGTGTGGATTGTGTGTCTAGATGGGGTTTCATGAACAATCTGGCAACTTGGGTGACGTCAGACAAACATACAAAACTGTGTATGACGATTAATTATTTATAATACAGTTTGGGGGACATGCAAATTGTATCATGGGGGGGGGGGGTCCCAGGATGAACAATAAAACGGGAAGGTGTTGGGAGACGGCCCGGAATTTCGGGGGAAACCCGGGTGCTGGCAGGTTCGGCCCGGAATTTCGGGACACGCCGGTACTCACAAGTGTGCAGGCACTCGGTGACAGTGGTGGCGTCGATCAGGTAGCCCTCGCACAAGTGACACGTGATGTGCGGGTTGAGGTCCCACAGCTTGATCCTCCTCGTCAGCATATCAGGGTTCTAGGAGCCGAACGGGTATGTGGAGGGAGAGGGTGGGACAGGAAAGCTTATCACCGCCCCCCAGTGGTGTGTTTTGGTCTTACACACATGCTAACAAAAAGCTTCACTTAATATACGCTTATATATAGTTTAAGCTAGCTAGACTGAAATACCCATGCAACAGAACATCTGCAATTAATAAAACAATCAACAATCAAACAATCAGAGAAAAAAAAAATACATTCAGATACAAGAACAGCATCATAACATTCAGAAAAGGCACTATACCAAAAAATCCAGGAATATTCTAGAAGAGTGTGCGAAAAAAAGCATCTGTGGTCGATGACATTGCAACCTGGTGGACATTATCTGTAGAAGATACTAGCAGATTTGCCCACTGGCATCAGGCAGTGGGGCTCAGGCTTTCAGGACCGACAGACTGATTTCAGTTTCTTAGAAACCTGTAAACTCCCGCAAGTGCAGATCAATGGATTTTTTTTTTATAATTAATCCGAATTCAGAAGTTTTACTTACAGTACATAACCTAGTCTTAATGCTGGCAAAGCTAATCGAGAATAATATAAATGAACAAAATAAAAGTTGTCTATACTTAACGTTTGATCCAAATCCCTGACAGTGCTTACAAATAGAAAAGTCTAGTAGGCAACATTCAACAGCACTTCAGATTTACCCACGGGTGACGTACACATCGATGGAAGCAGTGAATGGGACGGCGTGGTGCTTTTACAGACCCCAGCTTTGGCCGGGCAGGAAACAGGAAACAAGAACGCAGACGAGCGGGCAGGATGCTCACCCCGAGAGCCGCCATGTGTGGGTCACGGACAGGTCGGCTACCACCTTCTTCAGGAGGTCAGGCGTTAGCTTTGCATCGTGGGTAGTGTGACATATGACTGCAAAAGAGAGCGAGTCTCAAGTCAGTGCACTGAACACACAGAAGCGCGATCTGAACTTTCAGCCGAACTCAATTTTACAGATCAAAAGTTTTATTCACACAGATTATAAAATGCCTTCCTCTGTCTGAACAAGTAGCGACATTCAGGCGTCTTTGAAGCTGAAGTTCTAATGAATGTCGTCACTTTACGCTTTAGGGCTGGCAGCATTCGGGGAGCGTTTGGTCCTGTACGTTACTGGCTGGGTTGCCATTTCCTCAGTGAATCTGCGTAGCGAGAGAAACAGCAGCCACTACGATAAAAATAAGTGCTGACAAAACAAAAACATACAAGGGTTTTATAAATTTGACTGTTGCGTCCTGTTCATTTCAGGAGTATTTACATTTATGATGCAGCAGCACCCCCAGAAATTTTTCATAGTGGTGGCCAGATGGGGGCCCACTGAAAATCCTGAGGTGGCACAAAAAACCAAAAGCCATGACCGGACTTCCGGAATTCTATTATCCTGTTGTAGTATAAAAGGGGGACATTTCAGGTCCAGAAAGCAAAAATCCAGACCAGGACTTTGTTTTAATCAACCAGTCAAACATGTTTTTAAGTGTGTGCTTTTTACGCTGTAATGGGCAGATATATGCACATCAGAGTATTCAGCTGCTTGGTTGAAACAAAATCTCGGTCAGGAATCACATACTGATGTACTTTGTTTTCTTGTTTTAGAGTTAATTATATTTTACCCAAACACCCCCACCATTGTTATAATGAAGAACTCGACAGGCTTTTATAAAAGCTCCAGGTAACATATTTGGTGTCTCGTCACATTTCTGTGGGACGTCGTTATGGTGAGGGGACTCTGGCAGGAGGATCTTCGGTGACGATCACGATGCTAAGGACGTTGCTGCCTGCTCTCCTCCATGACGCCCTCATGACCCACAATGCTAGGACTGACCAGCATTCATCAGATGATTAGCCCGCGCAATTAGCCTGGATTAGTTTGAGCAGATGCCCTAATCATGTAGACTGTCAGTCATGCTATCATCTATACAACCAAACAGATTATCATCACCATCACCAACAATGTATCTAATCAGCACTGGGATGACAATGATGAACAGCAGGGTCACTATGCTAAGATCAGCACCAGAATCATCATCATCTTCCAGAACAACAATATTGCAAACATCACTGAAATAATGACCATTATCATCGTAGCCAATCAGAAACTGCACCATTGGCATCATAACCAATCACTGCTGAAATTCCCTCTTACCTCGCACAGGAAGACGTTCCCGGAATTCGAGCGTCTCTCCAGCCTGCCCTTCATTCCACTATGGCCGCCCGTGCTCATTCCTTCACCCTCTTTATACTGGACCGTCACACTCTGCAAGCAGTCGGGATCCCATTCGGTTGACCAGACGCCCACGTTACTCCTCCCAAAGAGGCTTCGTTAAATGTTCTCTCCCACCAACAGTGCATTGCTCAGACACGGGCCACACAGTGCCAGCTCCCGGCATCCAGCTGGCCCGGCCTCCTGCCACAGCGATTATCAGCTGCTATTCCGCTTATTAAACCCAGAAGACAAACAGGTGACCTTCTGCGCAGGTCTGTATCTACCACCTAAAACCATCGCCACACCTCAGCCCTTCTGCTTTCTCCACACTGACTACCACCTGAAGCCAAAATCAAACTGAACACCTTGACATACAAGTCTGCTGAGGAAATGGCAGGATCTTACGTCCGGGACCGATTCGGGGACCGATTCGGGGTCGCTACGGTCCCCGGCCACAGAAAGCCTCTCTTCAAGGTCTCAACGGCCAGACGTCTTGTTCATCTGATTATAAGTGTCTCTTCAGGAGCGCTGAATCATTCAGGAATCACCTTAAGTTGCACTTAGATCCTGAACACTGCACTGCAAAAGGGCTATTCTCTTTAATTCAACAAGTGCTCTCATCAGTTCGTTCCCATTAAAGAATCACTGCAAGAGCTACACCAACTGGACAATTGTTCTTTACTGGAATAATGAAATACACAGGTTTCTTTTAATCTGCGTGATTTTACAGGAAACAGCTTATTTCAGAATGGGGGGCTACAGATAGTAAGGAAGCAGAGGGTGTTGATGTTGGTAGTGGAGGTCTTAGTGTTGATGGTGATGTTGATGGAGATGTTGGTGATGGTGTTGATGGCGGTGTTGGTGATGGTGTTGACGGTGGTGTTGGTGGTGGTGTTGATGGCGGTGTTGGTGATGACAGCGGTGTTGGTGGTGGCGTTGATGGCGTTGTTGGTGCTGGTGTTGGCGGCGGTGTTGGTGGCAGTGTTGGTGGTGGTGTTGATGGCAGTGTTGGTGATGGTGTTGGCGACGGTGTTGGTGGCAGTGTTGGTGATCACCTTATGCTGTCAACCTCAGCCTGATTAAATACAGTGGAAATCCATAAAGTAACTGGATGGAAGCTTGTGTTTATTGCAGTGCAGCTGTGTGTTCAGAACACTGCTGTGGGGTCAGGGTGAGAAGTCTAACCACAGCTACAGGGCACTGCAGAGAGGTGAGGGATCACTGCGCCAATCGCACGATACTGAAGCCTGGAGTCCGACAATGAAAACACTGAGAAGCTTGACAGAAGTCATTCCATAATCACAGTCAGTGAGAGAAATTTTAGCTCCAGGACATTCAATAGAAAATCATTTAATAGGCAATCGCCGCAGCAGAAAGCGTGACGCCTCTGCAACTCCGTCAGGTATATGTGCAACAAAGCAAGAGCAGTCCTTTGCCCCAGTCACAAAAGCGCTTTCCTAGAATACTTTGTAAATCTTGATACCTATTACATACAAGACACCTAGGCACCTATTATTGTTGTTTCAGCACCTATGCTAATACAACAGTAATAATCTGAATTATCACAGTCTCCTTCTGACTAAATGTTCGCAAATGGTAAACTTTACAAGAATGTTATGGTCTGGCTCGTTCGGTAATTGATCTAAGCACTGCATTTTTCTTCCAGACCGAAGTTGAGCTGCAGGGACTCAGCACACGGCAGCAGAAATCAGATCCCAGCCATTTGCGATGGGCCCCAACTCGCCCAGCCGTCTGGCATCACATACACTCAGGCAGAGACGGAAATACCAATCAGGCTTTTCACTTCTTTTACTTTGGTTCAGCTCGGAACCTTCCAGAATGTTCCACAACAAGGCTGATGACCCCTAACCCTGGGGCCTGCATCACAAAACAAGATTTGTTAGTTAGCTAGATAACTTGTTGGATTTAAGGTAGCCTGGTTTAAATGGCCTTTATCTTCATTCACTTACATTTAGCCCAGACCACCTTAAATCCAAGAACTTCTCTTGCTACCCCTAAAATCCAGCTTTGTGATGCAGGCCTCTGGCTTTTTATCCCTGATCAAAACTGTTAACAAGTCTGTTTCATCAATCTGTGGATTGAATTCTTACTTAAACTTTCTTGACAGTTGTGGACTTCTTTAAAAAGGATTCTGCAATGATTAGAAAGCTGACGAATATATATATATATATATATATATATATACACTTTACTTCAAATATTTATACTTCCATTTCATTAATTTAGCAGATGCTTTTATCCAAACCCACATACTGTTTTTGAGAAAGCAGGGTCAGGGTTAGGCTTAGGGTTAGGCTTAGGGTCAGACAGCTCCTACAGTACCTGGGGTCCAAACCCGCTATGCCACACCGCATCAAACACACCACAAAAAATGGGAAATGACGTGCTTTAAATTATTCCATAGTAGTTCGCAGCTCATTAATAGCGTATTAATTTAAATGCTAACATAATGTGAGAGGAACACATAAAATGAACATTTTAACACACATAAACACACAGGTACAATGATCAGCATCGCGATCTGGATCTCAGCAGAAGTCCGTCTTCTGTACCGACAGGTAATAAAAGCACTGGGGAAGATTGCGGGGTCCTTCAGCTGGCCTCACCGGCCCCGGGGCGTCTATACATCGCCTGCCCTGTCTATAATGAAACAGCCCATGCAATGGAGGCAGCGTGTGGCTCAGCCTCTGTGCCTGTGAGCGGAAGGTCATTGGTTCAAGCCTCAGCCGAATGGTCAGGTGTCCCTGGGCCCCTGAGCGAGGCCCTTAACCCCCAGCTCCAGGGACGCTGCCTGCTGGCTGACCCTACACTGTGAAGCCCCCACCCCCCAAGCGTGCGCTCACCACTATGCGTCTGTGTGTCTCATGGAGAGTAAGTTGGGGAAGGCGAAAAGAGAATTTCCCCCCTGGGCGATTAATAAAATACCACCATACTATCTCAAGAAACCCTTCAGTAAGAGGCAGGAAAAGCTCTGTAATTATAAATACTAATCAGGTAATGCAAAAATTATCTAGGGAAGAAAGGAAAAGACGACCCCAGTTTAACAGGTACGGCTGTGTGCCTGTATATCATAAACAAGTGCAAATATGTTACCATAACTGGATTATCCCAACTCAGCAAAGGGGGGTGGCTCAGTGGGTTACGAGTCTGTGACCCACTCGGAAGGTTGCTGGTCCAAATCCCATAATCACTAGCGTGATGTCAGTGTTTGGCCCTTGAGCAAGGCCTTTATCCGGAGGCTGACCCTGAGCTCTCATCTGTATGTCACTTTGGGTAAAAGCCCACCTGATGGGACAGGGATCCCAAGCACTGCCCAATTTAAGTGACTCCCCTTTCGTTAAACTGTATTTTCACAGACGAGTTAGAATAAATTGACTTTATTACAACAGCCACAGATATGAGGATGTGAACTTTAAAGGTACCAGTGTCCCCTTTTCTACCTTTCAGCCAGCCCTCAGAAAGTCTCTGCAGTTCGAGAAATAAGTGTGAAATATAAATATTCAGTACATTTGTGTGACAAAGCGGGACATTTCATCGACGGCTGCCAGCGCTAAGGCCGCGCAGGATGCCAGCCTGCGGATCTGCACCGGGAACTGGGCCGGTTACATAACCCGCCCAGCACAAGCAGGCAGCGTGAGGCCACCGGCGTCACCGTCACCACCGCCTGTGACAATGCGGCCGCTCCGGATCACACCTCTCCGGGAGCAAAGCAGCCGAGGACTTCCACGGCAACAGAGGCCGAACGTTCAAAACTCAGGCGATAGCGAGAAATAAAAGGAGGATGTTCCAGCACCGGCGGCTGAGCTGGAGATTACGCAGCTCCCTGTTAAATCTCAAATTCAACAGCTGCAGATGTTACATTTATTTATAAAAGCAAATAAAATATGCTCTGGTGAATTATCTGCTTTAATAACCCTAAATTAACTGCACATGCTTCCTTACTGCATTATTAAACTTTATTCTCCGGGAAATTTTTAATTAAAATATGAAGATTATACTAGGAGACGCCGGTGTGATAAGGCCCACCCAAAACTTTTTGTCCTCTGGGTGGTTCGTTAATCTGAGAAGCTTAACCGAAGGGGGTCTGAGACAGCGGGGAATATGGTGCCTGGTTGACCCTCCACTCTGGTGTCACCTGAACGCCCAGAAGCAAAGCAGCCCCCCCTTTTCAGCTGCCATTTTTTGGAGGGGGGGGGGGGCAGCAGAAGGACCCACAGGTGATTCTCTCAAGTGGGGGCCAGAATGGCAGTGGGATTTATGACAATGAGACAGCAGGGACACCGTGAGGACATGCGAGGCGGCTATGAGATACGAGGGGGTAGTGACACCCCCAGGAGCGGGGGGTGGCTTTAGAGGACAATGACTAATCAACAAAGTGCAACACAGATCCTTATATGGAGTTCTGGCCATTCACTAACTTAGTGTTTCTCAAAGTGGTCTTCTGGGACCCCCAGATGGTCCAAGTTTTTGCTCCCTCCCAGCTCCCTGGAGCAAAAATGTGGGCCATCTGGCAAGGAGCTGGGAGGGAGCAAAAATGTGGACTGTCTGGCAGGGAGCTGGGAGCAAGAAAATATGTGGACTGTCTGGCAGGGAGCTGGGAGGGAGCAAAAATGTGGACTGTCTGGCAGGGAGCTGGGAGGGAGCAAAAATGTGGACTGTCTGGCAGGGAGTTGGGAGGGAGCAAAAATGTGGACTGTCTGCAGGCCCTGGAAGACCAGATAGAGAAACACTGCTCTAAATCACCAAAAATTCTGTATTAATGCTACCTTTAAAAATGACGACAAATATACAAGCCACAACAAAACCTTAGTAATGCGAATTAAATTCAGTGATGTCATAATCTGACATCACAAAACCATACTACTGGCTAATTGTCTTCCGCATGGTTCAGCATAAATGGCATTTTGCATATTTTTCAGCCTTAAAGTCACACAGTTTCCTGGAGGGGGGGGGGTGAAAATTTTGCCACTGAGCAGAAGATGTGCAACTCAACCCCTGAATTTTGAGGTTTCATTCCCCGACTCTTAATTTTGTCACCTCATTTGTGAATTAGAAGCTAAATTAGACAAGGTTGTAATATCAGCCGATCTTGATGTGCAC